GAGAGGCTTGATGGCAACAGGGAGTGCGTGATGGCCCTGCTATGAATTACGATACACGTAAATGCCACTCCTATCTGCAGATACGACTTGAAATGCGTGGTTAAGCCATGCTTCACCTTGAAAACTCGTTGTCAGGTCTGTATCGGCGCAATGAGGGCTTGTGAGTCAACCTGAACACCAACCCAGTCGCACGCAAGCCCACCGAAGTAGTTCCAACTTTCCTTAATGTGCAAGATCATGCGGCCCGCCCGACGTTTTACATACCTGATAAATGCGTTGCGGATTACAGCCTCGTACATGGCGATGCAACGCCGATATCGGCCCTGGTTAGCCAGCAAGACGGCAAGTAGCTGCCCTGTAAAAGTATAGGGACACCATTGGTGGTAAGGGCGCTTGTTCTCATGCCCAGTCAATTCAGCGCAATTCTCGGTAGGACTGCAAACCTAGGACGATGTAAGCGAGCTGCTTCGGCCCTACAGGAATCCAAATAAACTTCATNGGTAGGACTGCAAACCTAGGACGATGTAAGCGAGCTGCTTCGGCCCTACAGGAATCCAAATAAACTTCATGGATTACCTGTTGCTAGCGTTTCCAAGTGGTGCTTCCCAAGGATAATTGCCTGCCACTGATCGAAACACGCAAAGCACAACAAGAGCAAGCTGCCGTGCTACCCCGGAGTGGGCCCACCAAAACTGACAGACAGGGAATCATTGCGCTAATGAAGCCAATGGGCCAAGTACCTGTAGAGTTTTTGTTGCAATGTCAACTCCTCTTTGCAAAATGGTGCCGCCAGCATCCCTCTTTCTGGATTCAATGAGTAGCAACAACGACAACGAGAACTCTCGTGCCGCCGTCATGGTCAGTACATGTCTGGTTCCCTTCAGAAACAGACGCAATAAAACAGTTGCTGCAAACAGTCACGAGTTCCGGATCGGTGGCATCCCAAGGGATAAACTGCCGAGTCTGGGAGTCTTCCCCTAGAAAGGATAGGCTTCTGCGGAAATCCTACAAAATGAAAGTCGTAGGTGTCCAAAGCCCATTGCAGCATCAGGCATGCGGCATTTGCCATCTGAGCTCTCTGTTCCTCCGTTACCAATTCCTGTAGCCGCAGCGCAGCGCTCCACTCACATTGCACAAAGGAAATTAGCTGGAAGCAATAGAAGAGCCGAGTTGTTGGCAAGACGAGCGCAGTGGATACTACCCACTGTAGTGCTCTTACTACGGACCCTGCGTAGCGTGCTGCGGCGGCCAAATGCGAGGACGAGTTTGCAGTGCGCCAGCATCCTGAGGAGGCCGGCCATTTTTGGATTGATCGGTGCCGGCGGTATTCCAGCCGGGACCTGAACACA